TTTATGCCTCAGTTTTGTTTTAAAAGTTCTTAATTCTTTTCATAACAGTGGAAAACAAAATCAAATTCCATTTATTCCTGGCCAGTGTAAGAAATGGCATGAAACAATCAACAGAATACTCAATTAGGACCTCCCTCCAAGTACTGAAACCTCCTTTCACTTCAACTGAAGCAAGACTCAGTTCTAACTAACTGTGCTTGTATGACAAAGGTAGGATTCCCAAAGAAATACAAATCCACCTGGTGAATTAGTTGAGAAAAACACACTAACTGGTCATCTCTAACGCCTTAACCAATTCTGTGCACTTTCTTGCAATGGAAGGATATGCCTTAAGTGTGATGTCCTCAAATCCCTTTCCAAACAAAATCAATTAAGTTGAAAAGCTGTTCTACTCGCAGAAAGAAACCCATCCATTGCAGAATTATAACTGTAAAATTGCAGCACTTCAAATTCAGCCAATAGATTAACTTTCCAAGACAGATAAGTGACTCATCGGGAAAGGCAAACGCTATTTTTGACATTTATACTTTATGAATTATTAACTGGTTTGCTGCATCTAGACTGATTTTGCATGAACGGGAATTTCTGCCACATACCTTGAAGCTGAAAAGTGTACAAACTGGAACAGAACTCAGCAAAACTATCTAATTGGCTAGTGCTGCTTTAAAGAGCAAGTCCTGTCAGTATACTTAAAGTCATAAAGATGAAATCAACACTAATTTGCAGGAAAATTTTCTTTCTGGAGAAAAAAATACAGCTTTCATCTTGTTTGGAACATGTTATGCTATCCTATTTCATTGTGGTTGCACTCTTCCCCCCAGAAGCAGAACAAAAGTGATGACTAGCGCTTAAGAACACTTTAAACTGGAAAATAAATTGTGTCCTCATTTTTTTGCTCAATACTCACCAAATTTCTTAACACAAATATGAAAAAGAAGGCCTACATCAAAATGCTTAGATAAACTGTTCACATTTAAAGACCTTTTGCAGCCAACAGAAACTGGAATTTAGGTAATGGAAAAGAATAACATTTGATATATAAAACCACAAATTACTAAAAAAAGGAACTGAAATTCCCAAAACTATGAAGAAGGCAGAGGTAGATGTAAATATTTTAACAGTGTGAAGTGTTCTGCTGCCATCAAAATAGAGGGGGGAAAAGGGGGGCAAAGACAACATTTTTCTCTATTTTAGAACTTCTGCTTATGAAGGATTCAGTATAGTATCCCCTTTTCACAGCCCAATGAAAATTACATCAGCGCTGATAAGGATCCCAGCTAGTGGCACCTACCTGTTCTGAAACACATGTGCATTCAATTCACCAGCCCTCCCCCAGTGACAGGCCGATTAGCTGAACCAGTGGCTGAATTTCTCGTTCTTTCAGGAGGCCCTCTGGCATTACATGAAACAGCCTTTGGAGGCTGCCACTAGCAAGGTTATACTGCTGCTGCCTCAGCAGCACCTTTGCTGGGATCAAATAATACTTCTTTTTGGCAATAGGCAAAGAAAGTAAGAGCAAACTGCTGCCCCTTGGTGTGAACCATGAGATGCTGCAACAACTACTTCACTACAATTTCAGTCTACAAAATAGAAAATTTTTTTTCAAAGCTCTTTAGTTATAAAGATATGGCTTCCATCACATTCATGAGAGCATCATCACTACTACATCAAGTACAACTACATATCCATGAATCACTCTGTTCAGCTCCACCACAGTGGTTTCCATCTACAGTAAACTTCAAACAACCACTTATGATTTTTAATTTTCTGCCATGCAGGTCTGTAGAGCCTCCATGAAGTGAAAGCTTGTGAAAAATGTTAGCACAGTAAATATGAATTTCCCTCTTTTTTTTTCTCTGCTTTGAGAGAAACAAAAACAACTCTTAGCACTTCTATGATGGACTGGATGGATTCCTGTGACATGTGCTATAACCTCAGATTATAAAAAAGCTACTATTTTGCCTCTAAGATTAAGTATAGGATTAGGTAAGAACCAAAGGCTAGGTAATTCTGCCATAGCAAACATTATCACAATAATACCATGCTGTAGCTTGGTTTTCTTTCATCTAAAGATATTATATATTTATTATCATAAATATCATATACTTAAGAAAGGATCAGCAGCACCACTGTCCATCAAGGGCCACTACATGAGAAGAAATTAAGAACGAGAGTCACAGAAATTTCTGGAAAGAAGCAAAAGGGAGAGTTTTTTGTTCTAGGAGAAAAGGTTGTATGGAGGATATTTTGGCTGCCCTTGAGCATACCACAGACTTTCACTGAGAAGAGGGCCATGAGCCTGCTTCATCAGGGCATTTCCCACTAAATGCTGTCCATACAGTTTCTCTTCAGATGTATTCACAGAGTGGTAACAGCTCCTTATGGCCTGCAAAGCAGATTTTCAACTCCTCCCCTCCTTTTGAGCTTATAAAAGTCAAAGATTTCACTGGCACTCTACTAGGTCATGACAATGGTCAAGATTCTTGACCCTCCACCCTTCACAAGAAATGTGTAAGATCAACCCAGCATCACCCTCAATTTTCAATTGACAGCTACATAAAACTACAGAATCTCCTGCGCAGTAACGTCTGCAAAATCTGTTTTGATTAAACCTGCTTATGCTGCTTCAGCACTTTTCTGAAGCATGCTATCAATCAGTATGCCAGTCACGAGGGCACATTTAAAAATTAAAGACACTGTTTTGCATGAATGACCAAGAGCAGCCAGTTCTTCCTTGCTGTGTAACACTTCCAGTTAAAATGGAAGTCAAGATTTGAAACAAAAATCTGATGCAGGCTGTGTTTTGAGCACAGCATCCGCAGGTATTCTTTGATTCCAGAGATTGCTGGGAGAAAATTTACAGATGTGTGTCATTCAGGGCTCCAGCTTTTATATACTCATACTTACATAAAAACATAAAGTGCATACATCAAGTAGAAAGATACTATGATTACAGATGCTTGAGAAATCCTCACCAAAAAAAAAAAAAACCCAAACCTTTTTTGCACACAAAGAAGCAGTTCCTTCAATCAGATTCAGAAACAGGGTTTTTAACTGAAGCAAACTGTTTAAGCCATCAACAACTCAGAAAGATTACAAAGTATCCAACTAAAGGGTAATTTAGATTAAAGTCAATTTTTCATCCTTTCAATTATGTAACATCAATAAAAGGACACATGGGAATTATGCCAAATGTGAACAACGTATCTGGCAATCAAGTTAGAGCGTACAAACCGAAGGAATTTCCCTACCTGCTGTGGAAATAACTCCCTCCACAGCTAAGTGAATATTTTTCCCCAAAATAGTCTTTATTTCCAGATCAAAAATTTGCTCCCTTTCCTTGACCTCAAAAAGTACCACTTTGTACTGAGAGACACCAACAGACTGTCCTGGTGCATGCCTCTTAAAGAGAAGTTTCTAGCAGCCTGTTGGGGCACTATCCTCAGAGCCACACCGGCCTGCAAATGACTCTCCTTCCTCCTTCCTCAGCTTGCTCACAAGTTTTCACACCACATGAGAAGGCAGTTCATTAAGTTCGACATAGCAATACAAAGTGCAGCATTCCCACTAGGAAAAACACATATTGTCCAACTTCCCAGACCAACTCCCATATCTACCTACAAAAACAGAAACTGACCATAATTTGGTGGATGAGGCTGAGAGGAAACATGGGAAGGAGATAAGCAGACCTATGTGAGTCTAGCTTCAATCACAGTCAGTTGGAAAAGACAGGTGATGCCCTATCACTGGAAAAGCCTAGCCTGCACACACACACAGATCCCACTCAACACTGTGGGACAGTCAGGAATATACTTTGAATACAAGGTTGCCAGGGATTTAGGAAAATATTGATAACATGGAACAGTAACAATTGGTTAGTTGCAGTTTAAGAGTCTAGCAAGTGTATAAATCACTTCATATGTAAAGAAGGATTGCTTCACATATTCCAGTTAAAAACATTTTACATACTTCTGACCAAGGAATTAAAAAACATTCAGAGAGATGAATTACAGTATAGAAATCGTTTGACCAGGAAATTAATTTCCATCATACTCATATTCCTACTGATTTCAATGTAACTGCTCCAAGTTTGTGGTGATGGCCATGTTCAGAAGATTTCTGCGTTTTATGATAATAAGCAGACACTCTGTCAGGACACTTTCTAAACGGATTATCAATGTTTTAAAACTCAACCTCAACCCTGTTTCAACCCTAATGCTCTCTTTTTTACAAATGAACCTAGGTAGACAGCTCTGAATCAATGCAGAATTCCTATGAAAGCCACAGAATTTCATGGGTAATAGCATAGCATAGCAAGGCAGGAGTTTCATTTGCTTCTTATTAGTCACCAGGGTCATTCTCTTACTGGGCAATTCACAGGCTGCCTTGTTAAAGAGGGAAGCACAGTACTTTCCACCTAAAAGGGCATCTAAGTGGAGTGGAAGTAATTTCTTCAGATGTTTCTTTCAGTATCAAACCTTTTTCTCTATAAAACTGTATAAACTGGTTAATTTTGTCTTGGTGTTGAGACAAATTAAATCATGTATCAAAAAAAAGGAGAATACAGTGGTAGGAAATAAACAGGCTTTTAAATATTACAGGCTTCTGGTTCAAATCACCACATTCAGATTGCTATTTAAATGTCAGTCACATTTATTCAGTGGTTTCCAGGGGAACATTGGATGCAGCCATTCCAAGAATTTTTGTTCATTTCTTTCCCTATGAAATTATTACTTTCTGAAAGCTTAGTTTTGACTATGCCTCACAAGAACCACATTATACAATGAAAGCACTGATGTGGAAACAAAACTCACGCTATTTTAAAACAACTCTATTTAAATGCCCCAGACTGGCAAACTGGTATCACCCATAGTGATTGCGGTAGTTTTAAAACTGTACACAAATCTGCAGAAGCAATGTTCTCCCAGTCACATTGACATAGCACTAACAGAAAGGAGTCTGCATGCCTAAATAAAAGGGACCATTTGGCAGCACAGCACTTGGTTGCTCATTTCTGGAAAAGTACTCTTTAGTGCAAACTTCCTAACTCCAGGATGTCTTACAGATTTGCAGCAGCACAGTTAACATTCAAATGGGGTTATTTCTCCTTCTTAGGTGCTCTGTGGATAATAGAATTAAATGAATAATCTAACCTGCTCCATACTGGTCAATCTAGCATCTTGCAATTCTGTATTAATGTCACAACTTCCAGACTCACCCTGCTTTTACAAAGTCAGGAATAGTTCTTCTAAACTTCATGATGCTGCACAGAGGTAAAACCATAAAAGTTTTCCTGAAAGGCAGAAGGGTGAACACACCATTCATTCTAGAAGGCGCAAAGTATCCTCCTGCTTTTCAATGACTCACTGCTGTTGCAGTTGGTGCGTGGAATTTGACAGGCATTAAGTTCTTCAGCACGGCTTCTGAAGTGGCAGTACTTCATGCAGGTTAGTTTGACATATTACAAGTCAAAGAATTATGAATGAAAATAAAATCCTACATTGTATAAAACAATGTGGAAGTCTTAATATTTTAAGTTGATTTATAGAAAGAAGACTTCTGAATGAAACAAAACCTCTTCTATAACATTTAAATTGTATCACAAATTTATACTTCTCACTGGAACGGTATTATGTATTAATAATATTGTACACTCACAAACTCGTTTACAGGGTACTATTGTTACAACAAGAATAATAGCATTAAAGATAGAAAGAAATTAAACCAGAGAATTCAAGACTTTACAATGCTAAACTGGGTTAAAGGACAGAGCAAGCTGAGAAATGATGAGAAATAACTTGTTCCTGATATGAATTAAGACTCTCTTATGACAGCACATCATATACATAAACATGAGTAAGAACCAAATTAATAATTTAGAATTTTTAAAACTACCAATTTGTTTGGTTCTATTTGGGAAGCTTCATTCACACCGACAATCTATATTTCACCTGGGGGTTAATCACTAGCTAAAGAATTACTCCCTAGATCACGGTTATCACAGCTAAATCCTGGATTTCTCACCCATACTGCAAACAAGCCAATAAACAGTTTTGTCTTGCAACATACTTGTGAGTCATTCTCATACACGAATGTGTATTCACGGCCTGCATGAAACAAGCTGTGAAAGTCAAGGCTGAAGCCAAAAATCCCTAGGTCATCAGATGCCAGGCTGCTAAATCTGGCATCAGAGACTTAATATTTTGTTTCCAGACAGCTAAAACTCTTCCTTCCTTCCAGATGACAGTGTTGCTGACAATCAGTGTGAGAGTGTCATCTGAAGGACAAAACAGCACGCACAGACCTTTCACACTATGCTCCTGGAAAAAAAAGATGTTTATCTCTGCTGCTGCAGATGCATTCTCATTAGCTTACAATAATGGAGAACCCAGACTTCTAGTATCCACAAGTGAACTTCAGCTTGCCTCCTTCTTAAACGTGGATGACATAGACACTGAAATTCTTATTTTCAGTACCAGTGCAGTAATGATGATTCCTAGCCTTCTGATGGCACTGTAGGCAGCAGCAGTAGAAACAACAAGAGTAGTAGCAGCAGATGGGTGCTGCAGGGTGGGCTCAGACACCCCTAACTGCTCCTTACTGATCTGTTCGGAGTACAGCAATTTTCTTGTGAGACTTATTTTACCAATGATGCAACACAATCTGGCATTAAAAGTGAGATACAATGTCATTCAATGCCTGCATGTGCCTATGCTGGAACTTGACATAACATATCGCATTCAGAGTCATAATCATAGAATCATAGAATCAACTGGGTTGGAAAAGACCTCCAAGATCATCAAGTCCAACCCTTGATCCAACATCGCCGTGGTTACTAGACCATGGCACTAAGTGCCACATCCAGTCTCATCTTAAAAACGTCCAGGAACAGTGAATCCACCATCTCCCCGGGCAATCCATTCCGATGTCTGATTACTCTCTCTGTAAAAAATGTCTTCCTAAAATCCAACCTAAACTTCCCCTGGCACAGCTTAAGATCGTGCCCTCTTGTCCTACTGCTGGTTGCCTGGGACAAGAGACCAACGCCCACCTGGCTAGAACATAATAGGTACTGGTGTAACTGCCAGGTATTGAAAATCAGAATTTTGACAAATACTCATATTAAGGATCATTCTTTCAGGGAACATCACCCCATATTGCACAAGAGATGAGATGAAAGAGATGAGATGCATGAGAAGGAGAAATACATGGGTGTTGAAAAGCATAACAGCAGAATGTATCTTGTGTGCCTGCACCTACAGACTGTTTGCAGTGACCTGCATGACAGACTCCTTGCAGTGACCAAGACTGCTACATCAAGATGCCTGCAATAGCAATTAGTAGAAAATAACTGGAGATTTTGTATTTAGTTGCAAATCAAAAAAAGGCATATTGCACAGATCCTGATGTCAGATCTCTAAATCCAAAGCAGTTCTCTTGACGTCTATGAAACCATTTTAGATTTTTGCCCAAAGCACACTGATTCAGGAGTTGTACCCTTGCAGACAATATCACACAGACTTTGTATTATGAAATAACTCGAAGACTGGTGGAACATCCACCCTGACCTTCCTGCAATATCACACCATGTCTAAAGCAACAAAACCAAACTTCATTATTCGGATTTCAGTTGTAGTCTAGACCCAGAAAACAAAAAGGTCATGTTTATTGCTCTTTTCCCAAAGTCAGGAATGCCTGTGGAAACACAGTGCATAGCCCTCGGTAGGAAAGGTTCGAGGGCCACAGTGGGTATTTGCCCCAGCAGCCACCCCCGCGGACTCCAGGCGGAGAGGACAGGGCATCCCAGCAGCTGCTCCCGCACCCCGGCAGATCCTGCCCGCTGCCGCAGCGCGGACGGGGCTGGGCAGGGGGGCGGCCTTCCGCAGCCGAGCACCGCGCACCCATGGACATCCGAGCAGATCCACCCCCTCCCGTGCACATCCACTACGCAAAAGCCTTCACGCTCACGCGGAGCCGTGACCCACTGGCGCACCACGCACCCCCGTGCAGACGCTCACACCGCCTCGCACGCACGCTCATCACGCACGACCGGCCACAACATCCGCGATCCCACTCGCCGTGCACTCGAGTGGAAATCCGCGCACAGGGCGCCCAGCACACACCTGCACGCACCCGTGCCCGCCCACGCATAGGCCGGTCGCAGCCGAGCGCATCGCAGCGGCACCGACTCACGCGCGGGGAGGGGGCGCGGTACCTGCGTGGCTTTGTGGAACTGTTTCTTCAGCCCGGCCACCGACATGGCGAGGGCGGCGCGCTGCAGCCGTGCGGAGCCGAGCGAGCCGAGCCGAGGCGAGCCGCAGAGGTCCCGCCGCCGCTCAGCCGAGGCGCTCTCGCTGCCGCCCGCACCAGAGCCCGCCGCAGGCTGTCAGGCGGCGGTGCCGGAGCGCTGTGACGTCAGGGCGGGACGCACCGCCTCCTGCCCGCCCCCGCCGGGCAGGTGACCCCGGGCGCGCAGCTCCGCGGCTCCCGGGGTCCCGCAGCGCCGCCGCTGTACCACCGCTGCTGCGCTACCGCCGGCCCGGGCACCCTGCCCCGCACCCCCGCCTGCCCCCTCGTTCCGTGGGCAGCTCTCGCACACGCGCGTCCAGCGGTGGAACCCGCTCTCGTCCCGTGCGGACACTCTCGGGGGGAGCACCCGTGCCCCGCCGCGTCCGTCTGGGTCACGGGCGTAGGGCTTCTCGGTCCTCCCCTCCCTGCGAGGACCTCGCCTCAGCGTCCTACCCGGCAGGGAGCGGGACGCCTGTACCCGCGGGACATCATCCACGGAAATTGGCGGAGCAGTAATGGGGGCAAGAGAGGAAAGCGGTAGCAGAGGGAGTATCAACGTGGTCCAGATTCCTGAAGAAACATTTCTAGTCAGTGTCATGCCAGTGTTTAGCCAGACATGCCAGTATCTTTGTGCCTGATCGTGCCTCGTTGGATGGTAGTCGAACCCCGGCTAATTGGGATCCCGCAACAAGTGCTGTTTTTTTCTTTCATCACAATGTCAGTGGTGCATAGAAAAGCAAATCTAAAGCTTGCCCATTCCAGCCTGCTGGTGTGGCTGTTGGCTGGAGAGCCTAAAACCCAGATAAAAGTCATGTACTTTAGCAGTTCAGTGTTATAAGCACTAGCAGAACAGTAATCAGTAATTATTAGGCTCTGCCAGCAAAAGACTAAACAACGTGAACAATGTGATGCAAACACAATGATCCGTCTCAGCAGGCTGAACAGTCACTGTGTGTGCTGCAAATTAGCACAATCGAGATGTACACTCACAGAAAGCTCTTGTCAGCTGTCTGAAAGCAGCCATGCTACTTTGGTGTTGTAATTCCATCACAACGAACACTGATCACTCAAGCTAGTTGATGTGGCAACAGCACCTAAAGCTGTTTCTAAAATCTATATGGGCATGCCATGGTCCTCCATGCAGGCTTGTTGCACCTAGCCAAGCTGCACTGATACACTCTTTCATAGTTCTTGGAAGTGACTTGCAGTGAAGGAAAAGATCTCGAATGTGGGTGTCACATGAAAGGTGGGAGTTCAGGTATTTTCTTGTCAGTCCCCCAGGAAAGTTGAGACTCTAGTGTCTGACTGTCTGTCAGTGTCTCATAAGGAGACCTTTCAGCAACAGATTCACAAGATCAGAGGGTACCTCAACCTCCCTTGTTGGGGGGAACTCAACAGAGCCAAGACCCCTCAGCAGATCCTGCCAAGGTGTTATCCACCACCAGCAACTCCAAGGACTCACTTTAACAGTTTACAGAACAACACTTTTTATTAATACAAATTGTGACAGGTTAATAAGGTTTGAAGGCTGTAGGTGATAGCGTCTACTGCAAAAATGTTTAAACCAATCTACTGGTACATATATTAAGCAAGCATAAGCTCTGATATGAAGCAATCTAATTAATATGCTATGGGGTAAGCAGAAGCGAAAGCTCAGTCCTAAAAGCAGCCTTTAATATGTGTAGAATGGATTTCTCACCCAAGGCGTTCTTCTAGGGAGGGAGAAAATGGACTCAGCCCATTGACTGATCCCAGCAGTTTTGGTGGAGGTCTTCTCCCACTTTCCCCCTATCCCCAACTTACTTTTATACTATTTTCTTTATGTTTGGGTGGAGTTTGAGTGGCTCTAGTCATAAATACTTTTTATTTATTATTGGTGTACCTAGTAGGAGGGGGGTGATGGTCATGGATTAGCACCTGAGGAGGGGGTTTGACATGGCTGTTGGCTTCAGCAGCAGAACGTCTTGATTTTCCGTTATCAGACAGGTACTCTAGCACAGTGTTCT